ATATTCTATAGAATAGTTTTCCTATAATTTATTTAATTACTCCACTTTTAATAGTCATTAAGGTTTCTTCTTCTAACTTTTTGTTCTTATAGACTGTATTCTTTAATATTGAACAGCGCCTCCTTAGATGTTAGGTATTTCTGTAGAAAAAATCACAGAGTGGTCAAACAGGATGCCTATTTATAAACTGCTTTCCTAAACAGTTTTTATACTTATATTTCTCCTTGCTAGTAGGAGCCAGGCTCTTTGAAGAAATGGTTAATTCAATATCTACGACAGGAAATGTAAGAGATAAATCTGGAACCATCTTATGGCAGAAAGCACGAGAATTAAAGATTACTGTGGTCATGTCAGAAGAAACAGGATTAAATTTGAAGGGACTGCCATTTGTCAAAGATGGAACAGTTTTAGAAGAAAAACTTCTATGATTAAAAAGCATCAAATATGTTCAAAAGCCAATAATCATAAGGATACAAAGCAAACTGAAAAAATCCATTGCAAAACTACACTGGGAGGGAGCTAGGGGATAAAGTCATCACTCTTTGTACTGGCTCAAGAAAAGAATCATGTATTTACCTTATTCTTCCCATACAACCCTATTTCAAAGTAATGAAATTATTGTTGAGAGGAATTTCATTATAGAAGTCTACTAATAAATGAAAATGTATTGCAGAATTAGACTAACTAAGCTTGCAACCATTATTAATTAAATTACTATGATTAGAAAATGATCATCATTGGCTACTAATATCCTCAGGTAAAACATAGATAGGGAATATCATAATACAGGCATTCAGCTGACAACACCTGATCCCACTGATTATATGTAACACTAGAGGCCCGGTGCATGACTTTCATGAACTGGGGGGGTGGGGTCCCTCAGCCCAGCCTGCACCCTCTTGCAGGCTGGGACCCCTCACTCCTTACCACCAGCCGTGAGCCTGGGTTCTGTCTGAGCGGTGCTCCCCCTGGGAGCATACTGACCACCAGGGGACAGCTCCTGCATTGAGTGTCTGTCCCCTAGTGGTCAGTGCGTGTTATAGTGACTGGTCGTTACACTGGTCGCTCTATTTGCATATTAGACTTTTTTTATATAGGATTGCAAAAAGAGAGACATACGGTTTTTACATGGCAGCTGATACGATGCCATGGGAAGTACACAGCTTTTCAAATTTTGAACCTGTTCAAGGCCCATGATCTACCAGATTATATTACATGAAGGAGACACAGGAACTTATTAAAGTTCATCTCAGGGATGCTATCAGCCAAATCTAGAATTCCAGAAATTCTACACGATAAATAATCCAGCCTCTTCAACAAGTAACAATCCTTTCTAATAAAAGACAAACATGCAAATTGACTGTATCTTCGCTATGCCCCAAGCCACACCCTCCAGCCCATCAGAGCAACTATATGCAAATTAACCCAACCAAGATGGCGGCCAGCAGTCATGGAGCTGGAGCAAGCAGGAGGCTTGGTTGCCCCTGCAATGGAGGAAGCCAAGCTTCCCGCCTGCCCTGGCCTCTGCTGAAGGAGTGGCTGGGGGCCTGGGTCGCCGGGAGCAGGGCTGGAACTAAGCAGCCGGGAGAGGGGCGCCGGGCCACTGCTGGGAGCAGGAACTAAGCAGCCGGGAGAGGGGCGCCGGGCCACTGGGAGCAGGAACTAAGCAGCCGGGAGAGGGGCGCCGGGCCACTGCTGGGAGCAGGAACTAAGCAGCAGGGAGAGGGGTGCTGGGCCACTGGGAGCAGGAACTAAGCAGCCGGGAGAGGGGCGCCGGGCCACTGCTGGGAGCAAGAACTAAGCAGCCGGGAGAGGGGTGCTGGGCCACTGGGTGCAGGAACTAAGCAGCCGGGAGAGGGGTGCTGGGCCACTGGGAGCAGGAACTAAGCAGCCGGGAGAGGGGTGCTGGGCCACTGCTGGGAGCAGGAACTAAGCAGCCGGGAGAGGGGCGCCAGGCCACTGCTGGGAGCAGGAACTAAGCAGCTGGGAGAGGGGTGCTGGGCCACTGCTGGGAGCAGGAACTAAGAAGCTGGGAGAGGGGTGCTGGGCCACTGCTGGGATCAGGAACTAAGAAGCCAGGAGAGGGGTGCTGGGCCACTGCTGGGAGCAGGGCGGGAACTATGCTGCAGCCAGGAGAGGGACGCCAGGCCACTGGGAGCGGGGCGGGAACTTCCGGGGTGGGCATCAGGTGGCCGGTAACTTCTGCCATGTCGCCATAGCAATGCGGCAGAAGTTCCTGCCCTGTAGCTGCTTGCTCATTCACTTACTCGCTCATTCATTCACTCACTCGCTCACATTCACTCATTCACTTATTCACTCACTCAGCAAACCCTCTCAGGTCCCTGGCACCAGGCCAGACACTGAACGTGAAGCAGGATAAGACAGAGCTATGTCCTCAAGATGTTAGTAATTCACACTTGGAGTGCGGGTGAATTTCCCGCCAAAATATAAGATGGCTCTGTCTTTTGGTTTTGTTCCATCCACCAAAAGGGTGGATTACAAACAAATATTTGGTAATACGCAGTTACAATCGGCCCGAGTTTACACGTTTCCCGCACTCCACCGCAAATCTATATGAATCTATATGAACCGAGTTAAAGACGGCTCCCGCGGAGTACGCGCAATTCACGCGAGCCGACTTAACTCGTTTCCCGCACTCCAAGTGTTCAGTAGGGCGAAGCAGGCACATGAACGAGGTAGTTGTATGCACAGATGCTCTGTACTGGGTTCGGTGAGGGCTGTAACTAACTCCGACTTTGTTCTCTTGATAAAATGGGGCCTCAGGAGCCAGGCCGCCCCAAGCCTGTAGGCCTGTGCCTAGGCCCGGAGTGGCCAGGGTCCCGGAACATGACAGAGGGTGCAGGTCGGGCTGAGGGGTCTGGCCCCACCTCTCACCCCCCACCCCTGTGCACGAATTTCGTGCATCGGGCTACTAGTCTATATAATAAAGAGCCAGGGTCTTAACGACTGTTACAACCGAAGGCTTGACCAGATCGGAAATCAGTGCTGGGTTGCTGAGGTGACCCAGCACTGATTGCCTAGGGCAGTGGTCGGCAAACTCATTAGTCAACAGAGCCAAATATCAACAGTACAACGATTGAAATTTCTTTTGAGGGCCAAATTTTTTAAACTATATAGGTAGGTACATTGTTATTAACTTAATTAGGGTACTCCTAAGGCTTAGGAAGAGCCACACTCAAGGGGCCAAAGAGCCGCATGTGGCTCACGAGCCACAGTTTGTCGACCACGGGCCTAGGGGGCTGCGGATCAGGCCCAGAGAGAGGCCTGCAGAGAGAGAGGCAGTGTCTGATCTGTAGCCTCTGTGGCAGCCGTTTATCAGAACTTGCCTCTCTTTCTCTCCTGGCCTGGCCAACAGCCGAGCCTCCATTTCTCTCCAGGCCTCCACCAGGGCTGCTGATCAGCCCCGCCTTTCTGATCAAGCCCTGTTGATAGGCCCAGAGATACTGACTGGCATAGAAACTGACCAATCAGAACGAAATTGGCCAGCAAAGGAGGGCAGTTGGGGGCGAGATTAGGCCTGCAGGGGCGGGCAGTTGGGAGTGAGATCAGACCGGCAGGGGAGGGCAGTTAGGGGTGATCAAGCCAGCAGGGGAGAGCAGTTACAGGCGAGATCAGGCCAGCAGGGGAGGGCCGTTGGGGGAAAGATCAGGCCAGCAGGGGAGGGCAGTTGGCAACCGGGCTGTCAGGGAAGGGCAGTTGGGGCGAGATCAGGACAGCAGGGGAGAGCAGTTAAGGGTGATCAGGCAGGCAGAGGCAGTTGGGGGTGAAATCAGGCCAGCAGAGAACAGTTGGGGGCTCAATTAGGCCAGCAGGGGAGGGCAGTTAGGGGCAATCAGGCAGGCAGGTGAGTCCTTAGGGATTGCGCCTAAACTGGTGGTTGGACACCCCCCGAAGGGTCCCCGATTGGAGTGGGTGCAGGTGGGCTGAGGGAACCCCCCTCCATGCACAAATTTCATGCACCGGGTCTCTAGCCAAGAAATAAAAAGGATGGGAAAATATTAGAGACTAGAGGCCCAATGCACGAAATTTGTGCAAGAGTAGGCCTTTCTTCTCCCAGCTGCCAGCACTGGCTTCCCTCTGGCACCCAACCCGTGCCTCCCTCCAACTGCCGGCAGGCACCCAGGACCCAGGCTTCCCTCTGGCCACCGGCAGGCACCCAGGACCCAGGCTTCCCTCGCAGCCCCAGCTTTGTCCAGAAGGTTGTCTGGAAGGACATCTGGTCTAATTAGCATATTACACATTTATTATCATAGATTATTATTATATATTAAAAGAGAAAGATGGGAAAGATACAAATGTAATACGTAGACCTTGTTTGGGTCCTGATTTGAACAAAGCAACAATAAGAAGACATTGGAATAATCATAGAAATTTGAACTATGGATTTTAGATGGTTTTAAGGAATGGCTAATATTTATATGTGATATCAATATTGTGTTCATGTTAAAAATAGGTCTTATCTCTTATAAACAAAATGAAATATTTACCAGTGAAATGATATAGTCTCTGCAATTGCTTTTAAATAATCCTCTGAGAGGTTGAAAGATGAGGTCCTGTGACAAATATTTATATAAAATGATGAATAAATGAGTTTTGTTGTAATATTTATTCTATATTTAAGAGTTTGAAATTTTCCATCATGAGTTTTTTAATTAAAAAATAAATTTAGCTTTAACAACCCAGGGGAAAAGAAGTCCTAAATTTTCAAAATAGTGAGAAGCTTTCAGAATTTTCACCCTACATATTTGAAGTGTGTATATACCTATATACCTTTAGGAATGTTATAGAATTTTTTCAGCCTTATTGCTGCAGTTGATCTGGGCCCAACCAACATTCACTTGTCTTTGAAGGATGTTACAGATCATATCTTAAGCCATTCTCACATTGATCACCAACCTAGAAAAATATTTAAGGTAAATCTAATGTAGTGCATTTTCTCATATCTATCACTCACCAAGGTCCTAATATTTGTTTTTCAGGTACAGCAGGTACAGACTGTGCAACAGGTACAGCATGTCTACCCAGCTCAGGTGCAGTATGTGGAAGGAAGCGATACTGTCTATACCAATGGAGCAATGTAAGTTCATGTGGGAGTCTTTTTAATTCTCCCATTTGAGGCCAGAGATCTTCTACAGAGCAATTACCATGGTGTATCCAGTCCAGCTGTGCTCCCTCTGCTATATGTCAGCCTGTAAGATTTTCTCCAATAAAGCTTATTTTATATTTGCACCACATAGTGTTAGGGATTTGCACAGTGTAGAACGGGATTTTATATTATCTCTCTCAATATATATATATAAAAGCCTAAGCAACCGAATGACCGGTCGACCAGTCGCTATGATGTGCACTGACCACCAGGGGACAGACTCTCAATGCACAGGATTGGGCTCCCTCCTCTCTGGATCGGGCCTGTAGGGATCAGGTTCCCGCCTGTCCGGGTCCAGCCTGCGGGGATCGGGCCTGCGGGGATCAGGCTCCCTCCTGTCTGGATTGGGCCTGCAGGGGTTGGGCTGAAACTGGCTATCCAACATCCCGAGGGGTTCTGGATTGCAAGAGGGTGCAGGCCAGGCTGAGGGACCCCACTGGTGCATGAATCCATGCACCGGGCCTCTAGTATGCATATAAGATCTTTGGTTAATCTCTTCCCACCCCCCATTTCCCTCTGAGATTAATCAGTCTGTTCCTGTGGTTTCCGCTCCTGTGTTGAGCGTCCATCTCCTGGTAGTCAGTGTACATCATAGCTACTGACCAGTCAGCCAGTTGGCCGGTTGCTTAGATATATATATGTATATGTATGTATACACACACACACACACACACACACACACACATACACACAGTATATGTATAATTGGACTATGTGTATATATATATGGTACACAAAATCCAAATATAATGAAATATATATGGAAATTCTTGATTAATGTAGGACTTCAGTTGTCTCTTGCATAGTTCAAAGGGGAATGTTTCCAGGAATATTTTTTTTGCTCTTTTTTTTATGAGGAAAACATATATTTGAAATATGATTATCTAATTTCTACAACACTGAACTACTAGGAGTAAGTTTTTTAAAATTACTATTTTGTATAAGTAAACTATTTGATATTCAAATACAGAAACCATCCGAAATAAAAAAGCATTGTCTTCGGCCATGAGACAAGTGCACTGTGTAGTGTCATTTGCTCAGGACCCAACTGCCTCCTGTCTGTGTTTGCTCACTCTCTGAGATCTTTTGCTGTTATTATACATATAGGCCCTCCTGTCTGGTCCCTAGAAAAATCAGCCTCTGAAGCACTCCTGACAATTGAGGACTCTTATTAATGTAGATGTTTGACTTGTATTTTAAATATCAGAGTTTATTAAATGAAGATAATGTTTGCTTTATAAAAAGAAAACATCTTTTTTCACCTTTTCTCTTCTGTCTAGAGCAGTGGTTCTTAACCTTGCTGCACATTAGAATCACCTGGGAATCTTGATTTCTGGGCCTCATCCTCCGGAAATTCTGTTTGTTACTAATGTTGTGACCCCACCCCAGTAACAAAGAAACAGAATTTCCGGAGGATGAGGCCCAGAAATCAAGATTCCCAGGTGATTCTAATGTGCAGCCAAGGTTGAGAACCACTGGTCTAGAGTATGTATATATTACATATAATATATATTACATAATATCATATATCACATTATATATATGGAGAGGTAGAGAGGGCGAGGAAGAGGGAGAAAGGGGTTGTAGGGAGAGAAAGAAGCTTTTCCAGAAACTCCTAGCTCCCTTTTGCTTTGATTTCATTGGCCATAACTATGTCATCTCGTAATCGTTAGCAGCCAGCAATCTGGGAATAAGAGTTGTAGCTTTCGTGTCCATATGCGAGAAGGTGGCAAGGGGAAAGGGGAGTTGGAATGAGTGTTCAGAGAGTTAGCTCTGCAATATCTATCACAGTCATTTATCATTAGTCCAAGGCAGAGTGAGAGATTACTAGAGTGTGACTTTGTGAAAGTTACACAACCTGCTTCACTTTTTTCCTCTATGAGATGGATATAGTTAGCTTATCAGAAGTGCTTTGTGTAATATCTGAGAAATAGTGAATACTCAATAAACATCAATTATTGCTGTTAAATTTTGCACTATAGTTATTTTCTATTACATTTTTCTCTCCTATATAGACTCTAAATTCTGCATATTGCCTTGTGTATTTTTAAACTACCTCACCACTGACTTTCTACATAATAGGTAAATGTGTGTGATCAGTGAGTCAGTTTATTCACAAAACCTTGGGAAAACAGCATCTCTCAAGTTGACTAAAATTACATGGCCCATTTAAGCACAGAAATGATTCAAAGTAAATATCTCATGCCAACATGTATTTTATATGGCTCATTAGCTCAGTTGGTTAGATCATGACTGATGAAGTCTAGATCATGAGTTCATTTTCCACAGAGTCCAGTTAGCTTTGATCTGGTCTGTATGGGCTCAGATTATATCTCAACTGCAGCTAGTCATGCCATAAATGTGCACCCTTGGTCAAGAGAAAGATTGATACATCTTTAGAAACCTTTTCTTCCTAACAAGTATAATTTTTTATTAAGATTCTGCAGCACCATTTTCATATTTACATTGTGTTGCCATGAGTTAGAGTCAAAATTTTAGTAGCTAGGGGACTATGAATGTTTTTCTCAAATATAGTAAAAGATTTTTCAGCAAAAGCCATTCCACTTTCTTTTTTCATTTTGTAGTGCTGACATTTTACTATATACAATTTTTGTTTCTAATATTCATTTTAGGTTCTTTATATCCCCTCTTTTTATTTGGTATACTTCTATGTGTGTTAGGAAAGATTATTCCATATACTTCCACCACACTGAATTAATAGCCAGTTAGTGTCTGGTCCCTGACTTGGGGCACAAATTCCTACTTCTGTATGATAATAAATGCTTTTTGCTGATGATACTCCCAGAAGATGGGGATGCCGATCTTTATCATGAGCTTTCAAGCACTCAGTCCATGGCCTACAGCCTGTGTATGCTTAGTCAGTGCTGGTCCACTGATGCTCCTGTCACCAGCATCCCCATGCTGAGTAGCCATAATGCACGGCTCTCACTCAAGAGGTGATGATTGCCCTCACAGAGATGTGTCATCAGTTATGAAAATGTGCAGTCATTATAATTTGATGATACTGAAGTGTTTACCTGGTTTTCACTGTGAATATGGACATTTACATGCCAGCATGACAGGCTTCACTGTGTGAGTTAGTGAGTAAGCATAGATTTAATTTGAACAATTGAGACGTGCTGGGAGTTGGAGTAGAATAACTCTTTACTCAAGGGAGAAGGTAACTTAATTCACTTTTGCTCCTGTTTATTTTATCATTGCCTCTGTAGTAACCCAGGCTACACCATCTATATATTTTCTTACAATAGTTTTCTCAAGAGGATTTTTCTCAAAGGCTGTCGATATTTTTAGTCTTGTCCAATTCTACATATTCTGTCATTTATGATCTCTAATCATTTAGAATACTGTAATTAAACCTTCTGAGAAACATTTCATATCATGTAGGAGTCCAATTCAGTTGAAATTTCTTGATGTAGCTAAGAAATCAATTTTGTAAATGATTTTCTTCTTTCCCCCACTCCTTTTTGACTCATTCTTCCCGCACTCACTCCTCCATCATGCTAAGGTAGAAATAAATCATAGTATATCAGGGCCAAATTAAGAAATATTTTAATTTTTTTATTTTAAATGATTTCCTTATATCAAACACTCTTTGAAGCTTATCCCTGTTTCGAAATTATCAATGTTTTAAAATGCTCTAATGTTCATTGTATGGGTATTTGTTATAATAAGGCTTGACTCATAGAAAGCCATCTCATGTTTTCCTGTTTAGATTATAGATTTATCATCAACCCCAGTACAGAATTTATCAAACTGTATTTCATAAAATGTTAGTCCATTTATGGTTACAAAAGCAGGGAAATACTGCATGAAGTTTCCTCTTTTGAGGTCTCTAAATTCCTATTATTAGTCTTTCAAAGGCTCTGAGTAGTCCTATGGGAAAGAAATGTAGCGTTTTAAAATCTGAACCACAGAATTCTTTTATTTGAATAATCTACACTAATAAACAACAAACATGCAAATTGACCGTACCTTCGCTATGCCTTAAGCCATGCCCACCAGCCAATCAGAGCGACTATATGCAAATTAACCCAACCAAGATGGCGGCCGGCAGCCACGGAGCTGGAGCAAGCAGGAGGCTTGGTTGCTCCAGTGATGGAGGAAGCCAAGCTTCCCGCCTGCTGCGGTCAGCTCTGAGCTCCACTCAAGGCAACAAAATTTCAATTATAGAAGATAAATAAACCCCAGATACCTGCTTTCAGTCGGCCGTGGCCACAGAGCTGGAGCGAGCAGGAAGCCAAGCTTCCCACCTGTCGCGGCCGGCTCTGAGCTCCACTCAAGGCAACAAAGTTTCAATTATAGAAGATAAATAAACCCCAGATACCTGCTTTCAGCTGGCCGTGGCCATGGAGCTGGAGCAAGCAGGAGGCTTGGGTTGCCCCTGGCAATGGAGGAAGCCAAGCTTCCCGCCCGCCCTGGCTGGCTCTGAGCTCCACCTAAGGCTACAAAGTTTCAATTATAGAAGGTAAATAAAATCCCAGAATTAAAAAAAAAAAGAAAAAGAGGAGAGGCTGGGAGCTTCCGTTGCCGGGGGGGCTTGGCCCCCTGAAAACGGCCCTCAGCCCCTCACCCAGACTGGCCAGGCACCCTAGTGGGGACCCCCAACCCTAAAGGGGGTGTGGCCAGCCTGAAAACAGCCATCAGTCCCTCACCCAGGCTGGCCAAACCTCCATGGGGTGAGGGTCCCCACTGTGGGGGGCTTGACCATCCTGCAAACAGCCATCAGCCCCTCACCCAGGCTGGCCAGGCACCCCAGTGGGGACCCCACCCTGAAGGGGGTGTGGCCAATCTGCAAACACCAATCAGCCCCTCACCCAGGCTGGCCAGGTACCCCAGTGGGACCCCCACCCTGATCCGGGAAACCCTTCAGGGCAAACCAGCCGGCCCCCACCCGTGCACCAGGCCTCTAT